TCTCCGCAGGCTTGGGCTATCATAAAGACCTCCAGACCAGAGCCACCTTCATGGAAGTCCTCACCAAGATCCTGCAGCAGGGGACGGAGTTTGATACCTTGGCAGAAACAGTGCTAGCGGATCGCTTTGAGAGATTGGTGGAGCTGGTTACGATGATGGGTGATCAGGGGGAGCTTCCCATTGCTATGGCTTTAGCCAATGTGGTGCCTTGTTCTCAGTGGGTAAGTTAGTTTTATTTCCTACGTTTTGTTAAAATAATAAGGCGTGAAATAAAAAGTGCCGCAGCAGTCTGGTACAGAGTGAATAGAGCTGCCACTGACAATAGCTAGCCTTTCTTAGTGTGTTCTTAATAATGTACTGAATCTGAGTTCAGATCTTGGTGATAAACTGCATTTTAGTTAACGACTAGGAACAATTTCTATACAGTTATTATAATAAATGCATCTGGGCTGGTTATTTATTACAGGTGGTGTGTGCTGTGATGCAGACACACAGAATTGTGTTTGCTCTTCTAGGTTTTAGCAAGATGAGTTGGGCTTTGTTACACAGCGGAGTAACAGCTTGTCTGTCTGGATAACCATTATGAACTTGTAAGGCTGGATATCCTGAGGCAGATTTTGAGACAAGCAGTAGCATAGGAAACGTTTGCAGAGAGATTGTTTTTGTGTAATTTGATATTTACCTGCCAGAGCCCATAGCAGACATAAAGCTTTATTGCAAACTGCTCGGTGGTTTTGTCTTAGTGCTGGCGTTTCATACTTGGCTCCCTGCGAGTCAGATTAACTCTTCCTCCTCCCTTTAAGGATGAGCTGGCTCGTGTCCTGGTCACACTCTTTGATTCCCGGCACCTGCTCTACCAGCTCCTCTGGAATATGTTCTCAAAGGAGGTCGAGTTGGCAGACTCCATGCAAACACTCTTCCGAGGAAACAGCTTAGCCAGTAAAATAATGACTTTCTGTTTTAAGGTACATAATCTCTTTTTTTTTCCCTCTGGTACAGATCTCTTCAAGAGCAGGAAAACTTTTTGTGTTTTAACACTTCATGAAGTGAATCTTGTAGAACACTTATGCTCAGGCCCTTGAAAAGTAGGTATCCCTCTGGCACTAAACTTTTGCCTTTCTGACTGGTTCAATTGTATGAGTGATTCTGGGCCAGTGCCAGCTGGAGGACTCTTCCTGCTGAATTCTGAGGTCTTGTTTGTGCTCCCATTTCAGTTCAAAAAGTTGCGTGCAAACAGAGGTGAAGTGTGGAGTCAGTGCTCTAAGAAAGAGTGTCTGCTGGTTAATGCAGTTGTTATTTTTTTTCTAATTGGAAATGAATTAAAATAGCGGTAGAAATTGATCTTGGTTGTGTTCCAGAGGTGAGACTATAATATACAAACCTGAGTTTTACAGAATTTGGCTTATGTTAAAGCAGCCCAAGTGTTTTCAGGCTGTTGAAAGCTTCCAGAACTTGCAGGTTCGTGTGTCAATCTGGGCTCTGTCCTTGTTTCCCCTGCACACAGGTCTATGGTGCTACGTATTTGCAGAAGCTGTTGGAACCCTTGCTGCGGACTGTGATCACATCCCCTGAGTGGCAGCACGTCAGCTTTGAGGTGGATCCAACAAGGTTTGAGATTCAGGGCAGCAGAGCAGCAATTGTATTTATTTGTAAACATGATTCCCACTCATTCTCTGTAATAGCATTCCTTTTTCCTTGTTGCAGATATTTCTCTTATGCTTTCATACTGTTGTACCTCTCACTTTTCCAGACACATTAATTGTCTCTGCAGCCCTCTTGCTCTGTTGCTTTAAATTATTTCTAACTCTTAGAAAAATCGAAATTATTTCTAACTCTTAAACCATCATGAACTGATAATACAGTTATCAGTTGGAATTGTGCATGCACATGTTTGTATAAAATGGTCTGAGAGAATGCCACCTATATCTGTCTGTTCATTGCTGAGTTTTACATGGCCTTTTATTTGTTCCTTATGTGGTTTAAAATAATGATGGAAACTTTTGTGTAAAAGATCACAGGTATTTCCATAAGAAAAAGGGGAAATGAGGTTCTTACCAAGGATGTAAGTGCAGCTTGTGTTGTGTTTGATTGCTGGTCATACATGTGTGGGTCTGTTTCAGGCTGGAGCCCACAGAGAGCCTTGAAGAGAACCAGAGGAGTCTCTTGCAAATGACAGACAAGTTTTTTCAGGCAATCATTAATTCCTCCTCGGAGTTCCCACCCCAGCTGCGCAGTGTGTGCCATTGTTTATACCAGGTATGCCTGCAGTGCTTGCCTGCCCCTAAGCTTTGGGGTTGGTTTGTGAAATTCCAGCAGTTTGGAGCTTGGTGCTAGACACAGGGGCATCTCTAAAGGCTCTTCTCAGATGTTTGCTACGTAACACCAGTCTGATCACTGGGGCTAGGGGTGTTTTAAGGCTTGTGTTTGCAGCCAGCAGGTGACTGAAGGTACCCAGGTTCCCTGACCTCCATCCCCAGCTCCTCTGCTCTGTCCTGTGGCTGCTGAGCCCAGTGTCCTGTTGGATCTCCTTGTGTGTTTCTGATGGATTCAGCTGCTGCTAAAAATCTGAGTAGCAGTTCCCTTGAGGCTCACTGGGAATACAGTTTCCAGTCCAGTTGGAGCATGTCACAGAAATGCTGTGCCTGGTGGAATGTTGGAGCTGTGGTCTCAGTGAGGTGCTCTGGAAGAGCTATTTCTGCCTTTTCAGCCAAAGTCTGTATTCAGGTCTAAAGCAAAGCCAAGCAAATGGATTTTCTGACCTGTGTGAAATAATGATGAGTAACAAAAATCCTGTCACATTTGCACAGGACTGCTGGGGTGATAGGACAGCTGCTGCAATGCCCAGAGCTTGGGAGTGAGAGCAGGGAATGTGTGTTGGGACTGTTGTGGTCTGGGGCTGTTCCTGTGAGCCCTTGCACTGGAGCAGGTGTGCAGATGCTGAGCCTTGTTCCTGACTGAGAGCTCTGTAAAAGCCTCTGAAGGCTTTTGGTTTCTCTTCCTGACAGTGGCTGTGTTTGGGTTGGTGGCAAAGTGACTTTGGGGTTTTTTGATTTGTTTGGGTTTTGTAATCAGGAAATGAAGTGGGCAGATTGGTCTCCTTCATGGCCACAGTGTCACAGACATCAACTAGAAGAATATTTGAGTGTTCCTGAAAGTATCACGCACAGCCTTGGTTGTTCCTTCTGTTATTGGGTGTTACATTCTCCCACACCTCATCCCAGAACTCGGTTTATAGGCTGTTTCCAGGATATGTCAGATTATTGCCATTTCAGTGCTCCATTGGTAGCAATTATTTCTGTGCAAACCATTGATAATTCCTTCATGAAATGGAATTTTAAAAATGTGCTCACCAGCAGGCATTCCCACAGATTCTTCTATGGAAGCCTTTCCAAGTGTGTTGGCTTTATTCTTGCCTTTACTGTCTGTGGTAATAAGGGTAATTTGTTCCCAAAAGAGAATATTTACTGGCAGATATACAAGTGGTATTAACTGATATTTAGCTTCAATATTTACTACTTTAACTGTTTCTAGTAACAACTAGATTTCTGTACAAGTGTTTGAGTAACACTATTAGTGATGAACATTCTGTACTTAAAATTTCAGGGAGTTTTGAGGTCTAGCCTTTATCTGAAAGAAAGTACAACCAGGATCTGATTTGGGGGCATTAATCCATTTTTATTGTATGAACCAAATAGGTGATTTTTATAAGATAACTTCCCTTTTAAAAAGGTGAACATGTTCCATCCCAAGTTCTAGTGTGAGAATACATTATTCCAAATTTTGTGGTGGTTTTTTCATGCTTAGAGTGTTAAAGTAACTGTGCAAAGAATGCTCACCAGATGTGTTCTGTAAATGATTAGTAGCTGGTTTTAATCACTGTAGCTACCTCACAGAAACGGTGTCTTTGGTTGGATATTGGTGGCTTTGCTGGCTGGTGTTTCTGTTTGGGAACAGAGCCCAGTGAGTGTTTTCCTTTGGAAACATCAATACTGGCTGCTGGGACAGATTCACCTGGCTCCTTGCAGGTAATGTATGTTCAGAGTGTGATGTGGGAGCAGGCATGCTCACAGAACCTCCTCAGAGCAGCTGTGCTGCCTCTTCCATCGAGTCCCCACCCATGCATGGGTGTTCTTGTGAAAGGAGGGTGCAAACTGCTCTCGCTGCAGCATCCCAGTGAGCAGAGTGTGTGTGCAGCTGCTCCAGGAGCCACTCATGGCAGTTTCACAGGGCAGGTTGGCAGAGGTGCCACTGGTTAAATGCTCGTAGGTCCTGCGCAGGTTTCAGTTCAGCTTGCTTAGCAGAGGGTTTTCCTGGCTGCTCTGGGTTGGGTGTTTGCTTTTCATCCTGTTCCATCCTGGACGTGTGGGAGCTCTCAGTGCCAGGGTGACCCTCTGGGGGTGCTGGGTGCTGCTGCAGGGTGCCAGGGGTGCCCAGCCCTGCCCCAGCTCCCAGCACTGTTGATGCCTCTGCCTGGGGAGCAGGGCACGAGGGCTGGGGCTTTGCTCAGGTGCTGCTGGAAGTAAAACAGAGCTGGGGCCTTTGTGGTGGGTCCCTTTGCATCTCACTGAAATGCAGAAATAAGCACAGTAAGTCAGATCTCCTGACTTGGAAATCTCTAATAAATTAACTGTAGGCTGTAGCTTCTTTCTTCCTTTGTCCAGAGAGTGTTTTATGGCAGTTGCCTCTCACAGTGTAATAACCCTGATGGTTCACAGGTCTAACCAAATTGAAGGACACACAGAGAAACATTGGGAAGATTTAAAACTCTAAATTTAATTTAAAAAGCAATATGTGTTTCAAAGGTATAACACTACTATTTGTACTGTTAAAATTATTTGGGGATGGTAAAATACATTTGAAAGCTGAATACACCATTTAAGGCCCAAGATTGTGTATCATGAGCACATTGATGTGGTTTGACTTTTAATCTAGCCAGAAATAGTAGAAATGATTGAAATTCAACATTTGCTTGTTTTGTATTTAGTGCTTTGTAAATAAGATGTAATAAAACCGTGGAATAAAAACTCCATCATCAGTCTTTAGTTTATATATTTCATTTTCTGTTGGTTATGTTTGTTACATTTTACTGTGTAATTTATGTACAAGTCAACATTGGTTTTTTGTTGCTGTATGTAGTTGGTGCTGTGACTTGTTTGTGCTCATCTCTGTTCTGTAGGCAACTTGCCACTCTCTACTGAATAAAGCTACCGTAAAAGAAAAAAAGGAAAACAAAAAATCAGTAAGTTTGGAGACTTTTTATTAGCCATTTCTTTCAAAGCACAACAGAAATCTTTTGCTGTTTGTTCAAAATATCTTCACTTCAGTCTATTTGACCTCACTGTAAAATCATTCTACTAATTCTGGCACAAAATAGCTTTCATTTCAATTAACACTGGAATTAAGTTAGATTTAAAATATTCTCTGTGTGCCTATTTGAGTAAATGAGACATTTTTAACATTACTGCTTAGTATTTAATATTCTGACTCTTCTAGTCTTGCCACCATCTTCAAATTAAAAAATTGTGGAAGAAAAATGTTTCCTTTGGTTTTGAGAAAAATCTGGGTCTGTTGAGCTGCTTTAACACTCTGGCAGATAACCTGAGCTTGCATCCTGGGCAAAGAACACTTCATATTTGTGGGGTACTCGGAAGAGGCTCGTGGGACTTGTTTCTGACACGTTGTCTTCTGTTTCCTTTGTGATGAAATGAGAAAGCCCCAGTTTTAGCACTTGTATTGTTTCCCGAGAAAAACAAATTTTCCATTTTAAGTAACTTGCTGTGTTAGGGTTTAGATCTGTGGGTTGCTTTAGAGCATTGTCTTTAAAAGTTCAGACTTACTCTTTTCTTTGGCAGTGACCTCAAAATATAAAGTATGAAGCAACCAGAATGGAAATCTAGACTTTTATTAAATACTGTTATTTTTGCTGTAACTGAGCAGAATAGTAATCATGTTTAAAATGCAAAAGTTGTGGGCAAACCAGTATTTTACTAGAAAATATCAGTAATTGCATCACAAGGTAACTGACTGGAGTTGCTAATGAACCAAAGTGATTTTTGGTGTATTTTGTACTAATGGCTTTGTCTGGTTTGAGCAGCATGATTTGAGATTGCATTAGTAATGTTTTGAAGTATTTTACTAAACTGGGATTTGTTTGGAGTTTTTTTATTTTAAACTATACAGGATAATATCAAGTTTGCTAGTTTATTCTGTGGAAAGGAAGAATCTGACTCCTTTTGATTAACCATTGTTACTTGTCACAGTATACACATAAGGACAGTGATGTTTTATAGAACCACATGTTGAATATCTAAGAACTTCATTTTTGTCAGGAAGCTTTGTCTTTAACTTTTCAAAGTTAAATCAGAGACATCCAAAGAACAACTCTCCTCTTAGTAATGCATAGTTGATTTCCTAAAAGAAAAGAGATTTCTTGGGAATTATTTTTTTCCTGGATGGCAAAGGACAATATTTTAAATCTGCTCAGTGGTTTTATGCAGTGTATGTGTAGGCAGAGGAGTGCAGTGGCCACTCAGCTCTGGCTCCTTCTGTCCCGCTGTGGACAGATGATGGTTCTGAAGGGCATTTCTGCAAACAGCTCCTCCTCACAAATGGAAAATGGCTCCTGGAGCTGTAGAGCACAGTGCTGTTGTTGGAGAGGCTCGTGGCTCAGTGTGCAGTTCCAAACACACAGATCAAAGACCCAGGAGGTGGAAGGTGTTCCCGCACACCTGAGGCACCTGCGGGGTCCTCCAGGGCAGGGCCCTGCGTGGGGCCGGCTCTGAGACACGGCCAGGAGCTCTGGCAGCCGTGTCCCTGCCACGGGAGCTGTGCAGCAGCTGAGGGAGAGCCAGCTGCTGTGTGAGAGCCCCGCTCCTTTCCCTCTTGTTCTGCTTCTCTGGGATGCAAGAGAGTGCCGCTCCAAGGTGCTGCGCATGGTCGGTGTGGAAGGAATGCTTGGCTTGGCTTCACGCAGGGCTTGTGGCAGCCCCTGGCCGCTGCTAAGCGCAGGCCTGTTGTGTGTGCTTGTCCGTGCACAGGTGGTGAGCCAGCGCTTCCCCCAGAACAGCATCGGCGCCGTGGGCAGCGCCATGTTCCTGCGCTTCATCAACCCCGCCATCGTGTCCCCGTACGAGGCGGGCATCCTGGACAAGAAACCGCCGCCCCGCATCGAGCGCGGCCTCAAGCTCATGTCCAAGGTGAACCCACCCCCTCTCTGCTGCAGTGCTGCTCTTTCACCAGTGTGAGAAAAGGGGGGAATGTGGGTTTTGTAGCAGCCAGCACGTTTATTGAAGGTGCGGTGTCTCTGCTGTGTTTATGCATCGTGGCGTTGCTCGAGTTCTCAGCAGTGTAAGGTTGGGGATGAGCACTTGGCCAAAAGGATGGATAAGAGAGTGGAATTCCAGCCCTTCACTTCTCATTTGGGTAACAGAGAGACCGATGTTCCTGTGAGCACAGTGAGGGTAGCAGTGCCAGCATTTATCGAGTTCATCCCATTGCTATAGAAGGGATTTTTCCTGTCTTTTATCTTATTTGGTCATATTTCTTGTAAAAAAAATTTAAAAATATTTAATGAGGGCACACAAATTCTGTGATCTGTCTATATTATCCATTGCAAGTGTTGGGAAATCGTATTTTTCTTAAGATGTGCTACTGCTTTTGCTTACCTGCCTTAAGTTCCAGGAGAAATACTTAATAATTTACTGGTGATTTGAAAGATGATTTATTTTCCTAGTTTAAAGTTCATAAAAAAGTGAATTGGTTTTTAGTGTTTAAAAGTATGAGAAAGAAAAAACTTTGAAAGTGAGTGTATTTTAAGTTACTTGACTTACTGGCTTTTTGTTGTAACACTTCAAGACAGCAAGTGAAAATGAACTGTTTCTGCCAGTTTAACTTCACTGGCAGAAATGTTTGTGTCATTGCTGTAACAGTAATGCATTAAACCTCTGCGTGTCCCTGCCGTGGTTTTCCCTTTAGATCCTTCAGAGCATTGCCAACCACGTGCTGTTCACGAAGGAGGAGCACATGCGGCCTTTCAATGACTTTGTGAAGAGCAATTTTGACGCGGCGCGCAGGTACGGCAGCAGCTGGGGGCAGCAGGCGGGCAGTGCTGTGTGCAGGGAGGGCTGGGCTGGCCCTGCAGGACAGCCCTGACGCGTGCCTGGCTGCCCATTGCAGGTTCTTCCTGGACATCGCGTCCGACTGCCCGGCCAGCGACACCGTCAACCACAGCCTGTCGTTCATCAGCGACGGCAACGTGCTGGCCCTGCACCGCCTGCTCTGGAACAACCAGGAGAAAATCGGCCAGTACCTGTCCAGCAACAGGTGAGCCTGCGGCCCTGCGTGGGTGTGTGCTCAGGGAGAGCCGGCACAGCCCTGGAGTGCCTTGTGTGGGAAGGAGCCGTAAGGCTGGTCCCAGCCATGGCAGGGACACCTTCCACCATCCCAGCGTGCTCCAAGCCCTGTCCAGCCTGCCCTGGGACACTTCAGGGATGGGGCAGCCACAGCTTCTCTGGCAGCCTGTGCCGGGGCCTGCCCACCCTCACAGGGAAGGATTTCTGCCTAATATCCAATCTAAATCTCCCCACCTTCAGCTGAAAGCTGTTAAAAGTTGGAAATACTCCCTTCTGTTTCTTCTGTTATTACTGAGAAGAATATCAGTAATCATTGAAGATTTCTCATAATTACTTTAAAAAAGAAAATCCAGCTTGTTCCAGTTGAGGAAGGATAGTGGGCGTTGCTGAGTAAAGGAGGAGTTTCCTGACAGAGAACATGTTGTTTGTAGGGACCACAAGGCTGTTGGACGACGACCTTTTGACAAGATGGCAACGCTTCTTGCCTACCTGGGGCCTCCTGAGCACAAACCTGTGGCAGATACACATTGGTCCAGCTTAAATCTCACTAGTTCCAAGTTTGAAGAGTTTATGACAAGGTAATGAGATTATTGTGGTGGGGCCACACAATATAGGTTTCTAGACTTTTTATCATGTGAGGATATATCAGTAGTTCTTAAGACTCTCTGCAATCAAGACTGTTTTAAAGGAGAATTTAAAAAGCTGAGTCTACACAAACCTTTTAGGTTTCTGAGTAGATTTTAATTTAAAAAACTAAACCGAGTATGAGAAATGGTGGTAATATATGTGATTTAAGGAGGACTCAAGATTGTGTAAACTTAATACTTTTGTTCAGAGATGGAAGTAAAGAGGGTTTGGGATTTTTAAAATTTGTTTGAAAGGCAGTTGTGAAAGTTGATGTCAATGTATTGCTTTTTAGGCATCAGGTGCATGAGAAAGAGGAGTTCAAAGCACTGAAAACATTAAATATTTTCTACCAAGCTGGGACATCCAAAGTTGGCAATCCTGTTTTCTACTACATCGCTCGGCGGTAAGAAACCTTTCACCTTCCCAGTTTGAAGTGAACCTGTCACTCAGAGGTGTCAAGTGTATGTAAGAGACACCAGCTTGGTAACAAACAAGAGTCTGAAAATAGCTTATTTGTTAATATTTGCTGATGGTATTTTTGAGTTGTTTCCTAAAGCAAGATTGTCATTTCAAAGTAATTACACTCATGAGAGGAGTCGTTCCTGGAGGTGTTGAGGGAAGGGAGGTCCCTGTGCTCACCCCAGGTGTGGTCAGGGGCAGCTGAGGGTTGGCTGAGCTGCTGAAGCTGCTCCCTGTGCTGAGGTGCTGCTGCTGGGGCTGTGCTCCAGCCCTGGGGAGGCTGCTTTGGCCTGGGGGCCGTGGCAGCGCTGCCAGGGCTGGGGTTTCTCCACTTTGGGCACTTTGGGGTGCTGGCACAGCCCTGGGCTGTTCATGGTCTGGTCATTGCAGTCATTTTGTGCCTCTGGGAGCAGAGCCCTGCCTGGGGCTGCTGGGGTTGCTCTGTGGTTTGTGCAGTGGCTCTGGGGGGGCACTTGCAGTGTTGGCATGAGAGGATCTCATCAGTGGTGGTTCTTTGGATGGAGTGAAAGAACACAAGATGAGGAGCATCATTTTTTTTAAGCAAGATCCCTAATGTTTAATCCCTTTACATGCACGGAGTTAGAATCAAAGGCAGTCTTTTGAATCCTCTTTAAAAAACTCTGTTCGCTTGCCACATTTTCCTTCTCCATTTTGTTCCATTAGACACAGTCTTATTTCATGTCAAGTAAAACAAAATGCCTGCATTGTTACCCTGCCTTGTTCAGACAAGAAATTAGGCATACAAATGCAGAGAGTAGTGATAACCCATCTTAACAAGTGACTGTGCCTGGCAGTGATCCGAGGCATCCTTATGTATTCTGTGCAGACCTGACATGCAGTGTTTCCTTGTTTGCAGAGCAAGAAATGGTTATTTCATCTGCAGAGAAAGAGTTTCTGGAAGTAAATCAAAACAAAAGTTTGCACCACATGTTTGCTAGGCCTAGCTCATCTCCCTGTTCTTTAAAAGCAGAAAGATTAATTTATCCAAAGATGCCTCACTGGGCAAAACTGTCATGGTCCAGTCAGCCAAGCATTCCTGCCTTCAGAGAGGGTGGGCAGGAGCAGATTTCTGAACATTTTATCCAGGTATGGGATATTCCTGAAAATATGGTTGGGCTGCAACATGGGCCTTGCTGCTAGGTGAGTTATTACCTGTGTCTTCAGCAGCTGCACAGTTCAGGAATCCCGGCAGGGCTGCCTGTCAAAGCAGCAGGAAGGGCTTTGCTCTGGGACGATGCTCTGGCATCATCTCTTCTCACTGGGATGTGGCTAAGTGGAGCTTATTTGGGGTGTTTGTCTTCTGGTTCTGAGACAGGTGTTGTGTTTGTTTTCAAGGTGTGAAATGTGGAAGAATTGTTTAGATGGAGCTGCCAGGCTATTTGAGGGCTTGTAGCAGGCTGGGGTTTTTTGGGGTTGTTTTTTTTCCCCTTTTTTTTTTTTTTTTTTTTTTTTTGTAGTTGAAGATCTTGTTGCTAAGGCATTGTTGAGTCATTTTACTGATATATCTGGATCAGTTTATGTCCTCCTTGTGCTGTGAAATTTAATTCCTTCTGTCATCTATCTTCACATTTTGTTTCCTGGGCAACAACCCAGCTTCTGGAGCCAGTGCTCTTCTGTTTTTAATCCCTATCCAGTTACAAAAATGATCCATAAATCAATGAATATTGATCCTGAACTACTGCCATTAGGTTTTAAGGCTGGTCCCAAACTAATTAATAGGAATAAAAGCTCTGAGTTATTGCTGGAGACCGCAGCATTCCCCACAGCAATTTTACCCTTTCCAGAGCGAGTACCCAGCTATTAGGGGTGTGCCAGGGCTTTTCTGGGTGTTTTGAATATTGCCCTGAAACGCTGAATGGCTGTTTTGGATAGCAATTTCAGCGGGAATAGGTTATTCTGTGTTTCTGGAGGTCTGAGTGCACAGGGTGTTTACAAACCAGGCCCCGAGCTCAGCTCAGAGTGGCTGCGCAGTTGCCCAGCAACAAGTGCTCGACTCCCACACTGCTGCCTCCTCCCTGAGCCTTATCGACTCATTCGTATTCCAGAAAAATACCAGGCAGCCTCCATTCCAGTCTGCCTTGCTGAAAGCAGTCTGAGCAGGGTTTGGGAGGGAGCAGAGCCCTGGAGCTCCATATTCCAGCTCACTCCGCACCCAGCTGTGGGTCTGTATCCTGCTCCCCAGTCCTGCCTGTGCTTTTGGGAAACCCCAGAGCCCCATTTCCCCTTCCAGGCTTTTCTTAGCCTGCTGAGCAGTCTGAAGGCTGAATAGCATGTCCTTCAGGGTGGGGGCTCGCAGTTTGCCCCAGATAACCTCTGGAAAGCAGTGTTTCCTGTTGCTGGTCATCACGTTGTCTCATTATGGGTGAAACATTCTCAGAGCCTTAAAGTCAATTCCCTGTAGGTTTTTTAATGCAATAGAATTTAGCATCCTGTACTGATTCTGCAGCAAAGACACGTGCAGTATTTCCTGTAATTTCCTCAAATCAAGCAGTTTAGCCACAGCACCTCATTTTGTAATGAGTCCTGCCTTGCAAGCCCAGCTGCTCCCGCTGTGTGGGATGAGGCCAGAGAACGATACAGTTCTGGGAATTGCTGAGTTCTGAGTTTGGGATATAGGTTGGTGCTGTGCTACAGTCAGTCAACACTTAGCAAACCCAGGGACTGTCCAGGGACTGTGGCAGCAGGGACTTCTTCAGTGTTTCTAAGTTCTAAAGAGTAGGAAGGGGAAGGATAGTCACAGTGTTGTGTCATCAGCTTATTGCTAAACAATATTAGAGATACATCAGTATCTAAATAGTGCAATTTAATATAACCATAATTTCCCCCCATAAGACTGCTTCAAACAGGTTTGTATAATACAATGCTATCTATTTATTCGTTTTACTCTGCTTATTAGAAAAGAAGCACAGTCACTAGTTCAGTTCAATACAAACATAACTTTATTTTTACTTAAATGCCAATGAAATAACTGTACAAATCCATTGTGTAACATTTACTGTTAGAAATTAAAACACGTATCCGGTTATAGAAATACTGTTCACAATTGGAAAGTTGTCATTTCTCTGATACCAGTAGTTGTAAATGATCTACAGCCCCCATTGACACCTTAGGAGAAACAGGTAGAGGACTCCAGTCTTGGTTGTGAGGTTTTCTGGGTTTTGCAGCACCTTCATGCTACAATAACTGGAAAATAAATGGCCTGGAATGAATGGAAAACATTGTATAACATCTGTAATATTAAGTGGATAATACTTTTTCAATTAACTTGTTCTTCAGTTTTCATTTCATGCTGTTTGCAAAACTTCATCTGTAGTATATCAGGTACCTTTGCCATAATTTAAATAGTTTTCCTAGAGTGGACAGAACCATGCGTGCAGCTATTTCTACTGGCTGGCGGAGCAGATGTCGAGGAGAAGAGCATCCATGCTCGCCCTTAGAAAGCAGGGATTGGGCATGTTCAGTGCCATGGCCTGCATTCCTTCTCTTTGGAGCCACAAGAGTCAGGAGTGTTTCAGTGACAGCTCACCAGCTAACTGCTTCATTGATTTGTTACATGACTTGTGTTAGAAATCAGCTGATGTTTCATTTTACTGATAGTAGTTTGCTACGTTCTGGCTGATTTGTGGTATTCTTTTAAGCAGAATATATTAACATTTCAGGATGTCACTTGACATAAAGTCAAGGAGTTCCAGGTCATTAATTTGGGTAGATAACTCCTTGGTGTTTGACAGTGTCATGGCATTGAACATCTGGCATTTTTTGCTACTTTTATCTCTTTTTTTTCTTCTTTTTTTTTCTTTTTTAATATGGAGAGAGCAATAACTTGCCTGAGGTCTCTAAGTCAAGCCAGAGCAGAAGGATACTGGCCCCTACCACTGTCCCATGCTGAAGTTGGACCATGTTGCCATCTCGGTTTGCACCCTCTTAGCAGACATCATGGCATTGTCATATTTAATTCCTAAATTCAAAACTGTTGTTCTTCATATTTAAAATGCTCTAATACATATGAAGCAAACGTAGATATACATGCTAGCGATTTTGCTCAGGAATAACTTCTGATTAGTGAAACAGTTCGGTTTAGTTCCTTTATTTTTTCCCTTTCTTTTGCATGTCATCATAACTTACAAAGAATCTGTGCTGCTATATTACAGGAATTGCTCACTGGCAAGTCAAGCAAGACAATGCAGATATGATACAGGCCTTCTGTTTTTTTCCAGTTGTTCAATGACAAAATCATACGTAAAATCAGTACCTAAAATTCTGATGTGTTTATTCTGTGCAAGTAAAATGAAAAATTTAAATACAAAATAAGCACATTTTTAAAAACAAAATAATAGATTAGTTGTACTCAATTAAGACATATGAAAATAAGTAGCAGCTTAGTATCAAGACATTAGTGTGCGCGTCTTTAAGAACTGTTACTTTCTTTAGATCAGAGTCGGGACTTTGAATTTCTTTCATTCATTGTTTCAGCTGGATGTGTTAACTCCAGCTGTCATCCCAGGAATAACCCCAGTAATTTCCA